CTGACGACGAGGACCAGCAGCTGGCCCCCCAGACAGGAGGGGGTGACACTTCCTCTGGGGGTGGCAGGGGGTGACACTTCCTCTGGGGGTGGCGGGGGGTTCCACTTCGAGCACCTCATCGGTACCGTACTTGCACGGGTCCTCGCAGCTCCCGGCGCGGCCGATCCCATTTCAGAGGAGGCCGGTGATTCGTCCCAAGGGCGACAAGTAAGTATCCGTTCATTTTGCATCTCTTCTTGTTCATATGCTGAAAACCGAATCATGCGGACTAACAATTCTTCTTCTCGACTCTCAGAGGAACTGGGAACTTGTGTTCGGGGCGGATCATCGGCGGCGGTGCAATGGGATCCTCGGTGGCTGATCCGCAGCACTACCTGGTTTTGGTCACCCACGCCCAGGTTGAGTCGCCTCCCTAGACGTGGGACCACTTCAACTCCGCCGTGGACGCCGTGTACGGCACCGTACAAGAGCGGATCAGGCGTGAGTTCTGGGTGAGTCTACATCACACTACATTGCTCAATACTATGAATTCATTAGACGTTCTTGAAATAATGAAAGGACACATGATGTCTGTATGCAGGACTTCTTCACGTTGGAGGAGGGGCATGACCCCGCCTGGGTGACGAAGGTGTAGGATAGGGCATGCAGGGGCCGAGTCACGGACCTGTACTATGAGGCGAGGCTGTAGTGCCACATCAACCACTTGTGCGACGTCCTTCATCGGTACCCGGGGAAGAGCGAGGCCAGGACCATGACACTCACCAGGGAGCAGTACCTCGCAGTAAGTTATAAAACATTGTTATTGACTCATTCCATGAAGAATAGGTAGCCTTCATTTTATATTCTAACATTTCTAATACTTGATGGCATGCAAATGTGTCCTTCTTGGTGCGCCACCCACAGAGACTATTGGGCGGCCATCGTGGACAAGTGGGTCTCCGATGAGTGGAGGAGAGGCCACGCCTCCGTCGGGAGTGCCGCTTTGAGATGGGTGGGCGGCGCACCACCAAGGCAACAACCCCTCGGTTAAACGCCCGAGCTTCGGTACACGCTCGCGCACTTATTTATTTATTTGTTCTAACGCTCAATTCTCATTACTTCTAATCGTCTTTGTGTTTTCCTCGTAGTCCCAGTCGCATGATGGCTAGGAATGCAACGAGTTCATGGCGTATGCCATGGCACACAAGGGCAAGGCGACAGCCCCGGACACCATCTACAACCCGGAGGATGGGCCCGAGGCGTATAGCAACACGAGCGTCCACAGCAAGCTCACCGACTACGCCTCGGCGGCCCGTGAGCGGCATGGGGAGGACTTCAACCCCACCACCCAGCCCCTTGATACCGACCTCATGATGAGGCTCGGAGGAGGGAAGCAGCACGGCCGGTACTGGATGGACTCCAACATGGTCGACTCGACCTCTGTGCCCAACCTCGCCTAGATCCGAGCACAGAGCACGAGCTCCTCCGTCCCCATTCGACCTCGGTAGGCGAGCACACTGCAGCAGATGGCGGCACTCTAGGTTAGTTCTATTTCATTCGCCATTCATTACTTTTACATATGTACCTTGCATTTGCATTGTTTAAACATTGGTGATTGAATATTGCAGAGCCCTTTGTGGAGAGGATGGAGGCCGAGAGGGAGGCCGAGAGGATCGAGAGGGAGAGGAGAGGGCCAGGAGGGAGGCCTAGAGGGCCGAGTGGGAGGTCCCGAGGGCCCAGAGGGCGGCCGAGGCGCAGAGGATGCAGGACATGTTCTCATTCATGTCGAGCCTCGGCACCACTCTCCCGGGTGTGGTGGTGCCCCGATCATTGCTTCGCTCGAGTGTGCCTCCTACTCCTCGACTCTAGGCACTCCGGTGAGTATATATATATGGTTGATCAAGTCCTTTAGCTTGTGTAGATACTAATGAATTCAATTCTCCTTTGTGCATCAATAGTCGTCGGGTTCAAACCCGACTCCTTCGCCTCAGCACACACACCCCGGCTGGACAGGTCCACCACCGCACGGAGGTGCCCCTTCAGGCTCCCATTGGGATCAGTGGCAGTAGGTGATGCCCCTTCATGTTTCATTGACTTTTCTTGATCTAGGACTTGTGTTGGATGAAGACTTCTTAGATGTTGTCATGGATTTGCACATTGGATGTGCGTGTGATGGATTATGCAGGAGGATGTGCTTGTGATGGATGTTGGATGTGCTTGTGATGTATTATGGATGTATGTGATGGATTATGTATGCGTTTTGTGTGATGCTAAATGCCTGTGTGTTGTCTCATGTATTATATATGAGTTTTGCGTGTTTGCTTTCGAAGGAAAGCAACAAACAAACAAAAATAGCAAATTTCCCAGCTTTGCCGAGTGCCAACACTGGGCAAAGAAGTCTTTGCCGAGTGCCAGGGGTGTGGCACTCGGCAAAGCTGGAAAAAAATACTGCAAAAACAGCCACTTCCCCAGTTTTGCCGAGTGCCACAGCCTGGCACTCGGCAAAGAGGTCAATTTTGCCGAGTGCCAGGTGGTACCACTCGGCAAAGACTATTTTTAAAAAGATTTTTTAAAAAAAAATGGTTTCTTTACCAAGTGCTGAGCCCTGGCTCTCGGCAAAAATTCAAATTTTGCCGAGTGCCAGTCCCTAGGCACTCGGTAAAGCCGGCGTCAAATGTTGACGGCAGTTATTTTTTTGCCGAGTGCGGGCTTGGCACTCGGCAAAGACTTTGCCGAGTGTCGATTTTTGACACTCGACAAAGAAATTTTTGCCGATAAAATCTTTGCCGAGAGACCTTTGCTGAGTACGGAACTCGACAAAGCCTTTGCCGAGTACTTGGCTGTCTTTGCCGAGTACTTGGCTGGCTTTGCCGAGTGCCCCCAGCACTCGAGAAAGAGGGCGTCTGCAGTGGTGAGAGTGTGGAAGTGATGCCCACAAAAATCTGGGCCGCACCTGCAAAAAACTGGCATCACTCAAGGATGCTGCAGTGTGCATTTTGATTCCTAAAGCCTGATTTCTGGAGAAAGAGTCAATGGTGCAGAGGCTCATCTACGCGCTCTCTCTCTCTCTCTCTCTCATGTGCAGGGCTCAATAGCAAACAAAATACTTGTTTAATGAATGGGCACCGGTGCTTCAACATTCATCGCTCCAGAATCTTTCATTTCAGGCACCGGTTCACAGTGTGCGCAGTAGTGCCTCAAGTGGAAAGAGAAAATTTTAGCATCAGTCGAAGACAAAGCGGAAGGCCTAATAAGGAGGATCTTGGCTATACTCTCAAGAAAGGCAAGACAATCCTTGTTACTCACAAGACGTAATTTTTAAGGAGCAATGATTATTTTTTCAACAAGTGCAAGTAAGTTGGGCACTTAGAGCAACATTGCAACAACAAGAGTTTGTTGGCATAGAGTACGTGTGAGAATGGTTGTCTTGTCCTTTTGGTATAAGATACCCTTTCACCAAACTATTTCACCATGTTTTATTCAATCATCAGCAATGCAAAACATAAGTTCCTCCATTCTATTTTATTCCATTTTCTTTCATATACTCTAATAAAGTACATGCTTTTCCATCCACTAGATTATGATGCACTACACATGGCAATGAAAGTTGTCTGTTGGCTACATTATTGTTCGTGGAGTAATATGTAATTAATATGAACTATATTATAACAATTTCTATGTGAAAAAATATTGCAACAATGAGTCTGTCGTATTTTTTTTATTTGGACTCTTGTGCTCTTATCTCTATGTTTAAAGTTCAATTGAGTTTGTTCTCCATTTGTTTAACTTTATGATTTTGCACGGCTTTTTCAATAAAGGTAGAGTTTTCCCCTATCCCCGTTAGAGGAGTTAATGGTATCAATTGAACTAATAAAGAATAGTTGTCGCATGTGAATTTTCCCCAAGGTTTTTTAGTACCATGTCTCTGTGATTTTAACCTCTATTGCGACATCAAATATTTAGACAACATTTTGAAAGAATCTTTACAGGAAATTTTGCAAATGTTTCAAATCTATAAGCAAAGGTTGACAAGTTACATGCTTAATCAACCATCGGTGGAAGCTGAGATGGTTAGCACAAGGTCAGGGGTTTGTATCATAATTTATTTATTTATTTCTTTAGTTCATTTATTCAGCCTTTGGTGACAGTGTTTGGAATAGAGTGAATGGTAGATTGGGATAAAAAAAGGATAAAATCATAAAATTGAAAAAAATGAGGATGATATTACAATTGACCTTCAAAGCAGGGCCACGAACACCAATCTTCCTTTTAATTTTATTTATACGTGGATGCACTAAGAGTTAAGTATATTATAATTTCCCGATTTAGATGAATCATGGTTTACCTGAAATTAAATCATTAAAATGCATTGATAAGTTGCTTTTTGAACTCTGTGTACACTAATAATATACATCATTCCAAAGCTGTGGTACCTATTCGACGCGTATAAAATCATTGTGGCAAAGGCAACAAAACAAATTACATATAAGAAATAAAAAATAGACAAAAGTGTTATCTCTTGTCATAACTTTAAAAATCCTGTCACATGGCTGCCTCGGTGGCAAGGTGTGGAGTATCATTTCCTAAAAAAAAAGGTGTGGAGTATCATACTTCACTCATATGACTTATATTATTAAGTTTAGGGAAAATGACATGAGACAATGCTTTGGAAGTACCTAAAGATAATTGTACGGCAATAAAATTTCTTGGAGCAGTTGCGTTGGTATTGCTCGAAAGTGAAATTGAAGTTCAGTGTTTGTGTCTAATGAGAAACCAATAAAAGATACCAAGAGATCGAATGAAGAAACTCTCTCTACCATCTCAAGCTTATTATTACACGAAGCGCTCTAAAACTGATCAATGCAAGCGGCTAGGGATAAGCAGTTGATGATTCCAAACTGAAGCTAAAATAAACTAAAGACACACCCAAAGACATTATTTCTAGATGAGGGTAGGCGTGGCCGAGATGGATGGGGAGCAATGTAGGCAGCAGCAGCAGCACTGTTCCATCGGCGAATGTATTAATTTGATGAAGGCGCGAAGAAGATCTCCGAGTCAAGCCTCTTGGAACGGAACAGCTTCTCCATCTCCGGCGTGGTGTTGAACGACGCCTCCAGAACCGCAGGAGATATTGCCTTCCACACCGATGTCCTGCCCGCCAAGTGGCTAAAGATTGGGCTGCAATACATATAATGCAAACACACAAATTAACACAATTATATGTAATGTATATATATACAGTTCATTCATGTGGTAAATTAAATACTCTGATTAATTAACTAATACATCATTTAGTACGGATCGGATCGGAGTACGTAGTAACGTAGTTATTACTTGGGGGTGGTGATGATGGAGAACCACTCCATTCCAGTTTCGTCGGCGATCTTAGAGACAACGAAGAACCTGGGCACGATGAAGAGGCAGCCTCCCTCGGCGCGGGTCTCCAGCACCCGCGTGCCGTCGATCCCAACAATCTGGACGCGGCCACTGCCGCGCACGATGTAGGTGACCTGGTAGGCGGAGTCGCAGGAGAACCCGGGCGAGCACATGGAGTGCGCGTCGATCCTGACGAGGTCGGCGCCGAGCCCGACCTCCTCCACGAGCGGCAGGTTCCGGGTGTTGAGGACGACGACGCGGCCTCCGTTCTTGATGTCGACGTCGAGCGGCGCCTCCAGGCAGTTGAGGACCAAGCCCTCCCTGTCCTCGTCGCGGGCCGGGGGCATCCGGTGCCCGTCCTTGACCCTGATGATGCCGGCGCTGGGCTGGGCGGAGACGAGCTCGGCGGCGGCGGCCTGGGTGAGGTCCCATGCGCGGGCGACGAACTCGGTGGAAAAGCCGGTGAAGATGCCCGTGGAGCCGGTGAGCTGGAAGTTGGTGAACTGGCCCCGCTTGTGGCCCGTGGACGTGTCGCCGAGGAAGAGGACCGCGAGGTCGTCGGAGGAGCTGGCGGCGTGCGCGTTATGCCACCAGGTGACGACGCCGAAAGGGAGCGCGAGCGAGTCACCCTCCTTGACGGGGATCACCTTCTCCTTGGTCGCCTCCGGCAGAACCACGCCGCACGTACCCTTTCCTGCATTGCATGGGAGTCTGAGTTGGTTAACTAACTGAGGATTATCCAACAATCGATCAAGATGCCACGCATACATACGACATATGGAGATAGATTTATATATTAATAGGATTAAAAAAAAGAAACAGCAGAATATGTATGTACTTGCCTTGGAGGACGTAGGCGACCTTGGCAGAGTCGGAGTAGCTGGGCAGGGCAAGGCCCCCGGCGGAGAGGCAGAGCTTGGCGGCGCCAATGGAGGCAGCGCCGAGCATGGGCAGGTCGGCGGGGGACCAGTTGTAGTAGGCGCCGCCGTCGCTGCCGTAGAGCTTGTTGGGTTTCTTTGGGCTGAGGTCCATGGACATCACTTCGGCGGTGGAAGTCCGCTGCACCATGTTGATCTTTCGGCTATCGCTGGGTATGGAGTATGGACGCGTGTGTGCTGACTGCTGAAGACAAATGCACAGTAATGACGGCTAGGGTGCAGGCATATACCACTATTTATAGCTCGTGGTGAGGGGTCGCGAATTGGCCTTGTCGCGCGCATGATAAGGATCCAGCGTCGTTATCCTGGTAATTAGACTAATCACCTTATCCCTGTCGATCTATTCTCGCTCGTTGGATAATGCTTATCTTCTTCTTTCTCAGCCTATAAACTTGCCAGATCAGTTACGTTTCTTACGTCGATGTATAGAGGTTAAATTTCTAATGATCCGAATTTACCTGCAGTCTCATCGGAACGTTAGGTACATGGTGTATATATACCAACCGTTCGGTCACTCTGAACGACCGACAATGCTACAAAAATTTTAATAGAGACGGGCAAAAATGGTTAATGGAGGCGCTTTCAATTAAAGGTCACGTGATTTAACGGAGGGGTTGCCTTGTTCGCCTCGGTTAATCCATTAACGGAGGCGGGCGTATTAGGGTGTCCAGCGGCGGATCTAGGAAAAATTTTATGGGGTTTGAACAACACATACCTCCAATTATTGCTCGATCTTAAGTCTCAGCCCCACCTACACTATAAAATTTTGCCTAAAAATTCATGAGGGCGCCTCCAGGGGGTTCCACTGCTCCGGTATGGGTAGGGGGGGCTCGACGTTGGATCCGCCCCTGAGGGTGCTTGCCTCCATTAATCGTTTAAAAAAATAAAAAAAGCCCAGCCGAGCCCAATCGCGTCCACGCTGCCGCATCTAGCTCGAGGCTCCTCGCCGTGGCCGGATGTGGACCCGCCATCACCGGATCGGGCCCCACGATGGCCGGATCTGGCCCCGCTGTCACCGGATTTGGACCCGCCGTCACCAGAGAAGGGTCGGCCGGCTGCAGATCTTCAATGAGGAGAGAGAGAAGAGTGAGGGAGATGAAGAGAGAAAGAGAGAGGGAGACCGGGAGAACTGATCTACCTCCGCCGCGTGCCGTCGGGAGGACGAGGGGGGCGGGGGCTGTTCGTCGCGCTGGTGAGGGAGGAGGGGACCGCCGCCGCGCCGGAGGAGAGGGAGGAGGGAGCCGGGGCTGCGCCGCCACCCAGATCCGGGCCCCTCGCGCCGCCGCCGCCGCCCCCCGTCCAGCACGCCGCCGCCGTCGGTGGGGGCTGCCCCCGCGCCACCGAGAGAGGGAGAGAGAGGAGGGGCGAGTGAGGGAGGAGGGGTAGCACTGGGGCTCGGTCTAGCGAGGAGGGAGAGGGAGGGGCGCTCGGAGGAGACGGCAGCTCACGAGGGGGAAAGGAGAGGGAGGGGCTAAGTCTGAGAAAGAGAGGAGTGAGGAGAAACCCTAAGTCTCCTTGTATTTATAGTCGAAGACGGTTATTGGGCTTGCCTAGGCCTGTTGGGCCTCGGCCTTTTTGGAGGCGGGCATTATAGTGTGCCCGCCTCCGGAAATTGTTTTATGGAGGCGGGCATCTTTAGCCAACCGTCTCCGAAAATAGATTATTTTTTAAGGCGGTTGCGCAACGGTGATCGCCTCCGTTAATACATTAACGGAACCGCCTCGGTTATTGAATGATTAACCGAGACGGTCACGGCCTCCGTTAAACATTAACCGAGGCGGCCGCTCGGAAGGCTGGTCTGGCTAAGGATAACGGAGGCTAGGGATAAACATTAACCGCCACCTAAAAGGAATCTTGTAGTAGTGCGAATCCCAGACTACAAGCGCCAACTAGTAATCTTTGCTACATGATGTATTGATAGGCCGAACTGGAATACGAAAACAAACCCGGTAATTAACATAATCCGAACTGTGGGCCCTTCATGCGTCTCTGTAAGACTCATGCTAGAATTCAGATCATGCTCCAACATCTACTCTGTGGTTATTTACCTTTCAATTCAACTCACAGAATGTACCGAAACTACACAAAAAAAAACTATTGTAAGAACATTTCCAATGTTTTTGAACTACAATGCATATGCCAATGGTAGTTTGAGAAACTAGATTGTACTCATTCCATCTAGAAATGATAACCGTATTGATCAGAGTAAAAGCTAGATCTTATAAATTTTTACCAACAATTAGTCATATTATATGCACATAAAACTTGCATCAATAGATTTATATTCCAAGTGACTATGAGATGGTATTGTTTTATAGCAATCGAGTACAAATTATATGAGAAATTAAGGGTCAAATTAAATTTTGTTTTGTATGAGTTTTTTCTCTAGTTAAATATGCTTTGGACGAAGAGAGTATATCACTAAGTAACCGCCTCTTAGATTTTAGGCCAATCGAGTGGGCTTCTTATTTCTTCAATACCATCACTCTAAAAATTGTGTTCTTCATGCCATTGCTGCCACAAGTCCATCCGTTCAAACTCCCTATGCTAGCTGGCCACGTAGACGCTGACTTGCTCTGTTCTGCATGCTTGACTCGCTGCTGTCTATTCAATATTTCAATGAGACGGAAAATTTTGCTGCTTGTACTACTGAAATTTTGTGTAATCAGGATGTCATGGGAGTGATGCAGTACTTTCCTCTAGACTTGGATGGGCATATGCCGACAGTGACATGGATTAAACAAAGATTAAAACTCGCCACCATGAATCAGTGAAACGGGATAAAAAGTCACTAGGTGGCATGTTTTAATCTAAGTTCAATACATGTGAGTTTACATTTCTAGCAGACAGGAAGCTGAGGCTATGAGGGACATTATCAACCACTTCTGCATTGAATCTGGTCAAACTCCCAACCTTCAAAAATCCTCTATCCTCTACAGCAAAATGTAGATAGATCCACCAAGGATGCTATCAAAAACATTTTTCCTATTCAGGATCTTGCTCCGAATACTAAACATCTTGGCCATTCTCTCCTCTTCTCTCACATGACAAGACCAGGGCGTATGAGTTCATTATCAACAAATTTAGAGCCAAACTCACCACAATGAAGGCCAACAAGCTTAACCATGTTGAATGCCTCACCTACATCAACTCTGTTCTTGCCTCCATTTCTATCTACTATATGTCCATTGTCCTTCTTTCCAATACTTTTGTGGAAAAAATCAATTCTACATTTGACCCTTTTGGTGGGCGGGTCTCCAAAGTGATGACCCAAGCTCTACCATAGCCTATCGTCCTAGAATGACATATGTCAAAAGAAGCACAACTGGAGATCTTCACACCGTCAGCAAAAGCCTCATTCTAACTGCTGCTTGAAATATTGCTATTACTAAAAACCAATTCCTTAGCAACATTCTAAAAGCTAAATATTTCCCCTATAACTCTTTCTGGACTGCTCCCTCCCATGGACCATCCATTCTTCAGGTTAAACCTCCTTCATGAACAATGCATTCTCCAATCCACAAAGGTAACTCTTCCATCTGGTCCAGCCCTTGGTGCTCTCTCTAGTATAACATCCATGACCATCTAAAAATCTCTACGAACCATAGGCCTATGCCATGTAATGTTGCTCATCTATGGGGCAATCACACTCAAAATTGGAACTCTACTATAATTACTAATCTTTTTAGCCAGCAAGCACAACATGCCATCTTGAAGGTACCCAAAGTCATGTCGCAAGAGGAAGACATTCTTAGATGGTCTCTAAATCCTAAAGGTATTTGCTCCACAAAGGAGGCCTATAGATTCCTAGCTAAGTTTGATTCTTGCTATTTACTTTTCAAGGGTACAAATGGTGTTAGTTTGTTAGTGCACCAATTGTGGGCTCAAAGAAGAAAGCAATTTGGGTGCCAAAAAGCTTAGTCGCCAAAAAGCTTAGTCGCTAACTTTGGAGGACCCAAGCAAGTTTGTGTACCTAAAAGGAATTGATCTCTTTTGTAGGTAAATTACAAGGCCAGAGGAAAATATTATTTGCTTGATAGTGGGTGCACTCAACATATGACCGGAGATCAAAGGACGTTCAACTCAATTGATACAAGTGGCAATGATGAGTTTGAGAGTATTATATTTGGTGGTAATGGCAAGGGCAAGGTCAAAGGGCTTGAAAAGATTGCAATATTGAATGACATGTCCATCTCTGAAGCTGTCTGTGGAGGGCCAGGGAGAAGGATCATGAAACACAAAAGGAGAGGTTGAGACTTGAGAGTGGATGAGGTTGGTTACATGAATGGAAGACGAAAGAGGTAACTAACACGGTTGCCCATTAAAAGCTTGCTTTTCCAAACGTAACATTTTTCTTTGACCTTGTAACCAGTTCAGATTCTTAAAAGTAGGGCATGTTTGGATCTTCTCCTCTAAACTTTAGAACTCTAAAAACTTTAAAGTACTTTAGCTCATTTTTGATGTCTAAAGCTCTAATGTGAGATGGGTTAAAGTTTAGAGCTAACTTTAGATCACCTGTTTGGAGACTTTAGCTCTAAAGTTTAGAGCTCTAAAATTTAGAGCAAGGGATCCAAACAGGTCTAAATCTTGTTTGCTTAATTTCAGTTATTGAACAGTTACACTTCCTGACCTACATTACTTTGAGTTGTTTAGGCTATGCACGCTTGACTGAGAAAATTGATAACCATATAGTTGTCAGGTGGCTTACGACTTTTATGAGGAATGAGAATGGCACTTACATTCTACAAGGTCAAGGCTAACCCATTTGATTTTTGGTTAGAAAATGCTCCCCAGACTAAACAGGACTGTTTAATTACTATATCATCTAAATTTGTCTTTGTCCCTGACATCTTTCTCAGCCTTTGGTAGTTCATGCAATTTCTTCAAGGCAGCCTTCTCTCTACAACAAAAAAAAGGATCCGAAACAGGCCCACTATAATTTTAAAGAAGGATTTCATAATTGCAAAGGACAAAGGGCCCAACACCAATGAGACCAACTTTGAGTTGCGGCTAATGCTGTGTTAAGGACATCCGTCTGTCCGGACGCTCATGTTGATGGGCCACGACACCGGCCCAACGGTCCAACTCTCCACTTACATATCCGCTCGCCCAACCTTATCTGCTTGTGAG